GTGGGATTGATCGTCACATTATAACGCCCCCACGGCTGAAAGGGCGAGCATGTTTGGTATGACGGGGATTCGAACCCGCGACCCACAGATTGCGAGTCGAGCGCCCTAACCACCTGGCCATGCCGGGCCGTATTAATCGTTATGAAGGCATGTATACTATCACTCCTAAAGAAGACTTCTAGTTATATTCCTGTCGCATGTTTAATTTGTTATTAAAGCCTTTAATTATTATTCATATAATGGAGCTTTCTCAACTACCATTAAAATCCTGTTTTACTGTTTCGTATTATTTATTGTATAATTATTGTTGAAGAAAATTAGAAATAATTACCAAATTTTCTTATTAATTATCATCATGGTTTAAAATTACAACTTATTTTTGGAGACTATTTATTTGTTTCAAGGGTTTTATTTCTGTAATGAATTAAGTGACCTTAGATTTCGTGTTCTCTGTTAATTAATGCTCTAGCATCTATACTCGTTCAACGGGTTTTATTTATTCACATAACTGATACAACAGCTCATTCATATAATTCCTAGTTAGAATTAATTTACATTAACAAGAAATTAGTTTCCTTTAGACTTATCTTATTCTGTTGACATCTTTATATAATAATAAACTGAATATTTAATGATTCTAAGTTACATCATACATTCTAATATGGTTTTAAATAAATGTTAAAATATCAAACACGCGCAAACACAAAACATACAAAGTTAAAAATGAATGACAAAAGTTCTGTAACGTCTTAACTGGGTACTAACATTAAGATAGGCCCTGATTCAGGTGTTTGAACCCATAATGATAAATGACAAAAGTTTTGTAACGTCTTAACTGAGTACTAACATTAAGACATGCCCTGATTCAGGTGTTTGGACCCATAATGATAAATGACAAAAGTTCAGTAACGTCTTAACTGAGTACTAACATTAAGACAGGCCCTGATTCAGGTGTTTGAACCCATAATGATAAATGACAAAAGTTCAGTAACGTCTTAACTGAGTACTAACATTAAGACAGGCCCTGATTCAGGTGTTTGAACCCATAATGATAAATGACAAAAGTTCTATAGACGTCTTAACTGAGTACTAACATTAAGACAGGCCCTGATTCAGGTGTTTGAACCC